CTAAAAATTTATGTTTTAAAAATTAAAAAATAAATTAAATCTATTAAAAATAAGCTACAGAATATTGATGTTTTCATCTCAGGCTCTGCTATGGGTTGTGGAATCATTGAGTAACAAAGTCTAGCAATTGTTAAGGCATAACGATTTACTTGGAACCTGAGGAGGCCAAAATTTGGGAAAATTCATTTCCGATCCAATCTTGCCTTTTTTTGGTGCTAACTTCCTCATCTGGACGATCTATTGAGTTTTGAATTAAACTCTTTCAATACTTATTTTTTTTATTTATAAAATTTAAATTTAAAATAATCTTTAAAATGATTGAAAACCTTTGGATTTAAATCAATAATTCATAAGTAACTTCTTGGTGATTGCCAAAAGTAGAATAAGGACACTTCCTAGATCTTACACGTCTTTTCCTTTTTGTCATGCTCGCACCAAATCATAGACAAAATTTCCAAAAGAGTAGCGGAAAGATTAACACAAAATCTTAAAACGGTAAAAACCTATTTTAGTCTCTTAACTTATCAAATTTAAAAGTTTTAGTCTCTTATTTTATATTATGATACTTTTAACCCACCACCTTATTAGATTTGTAGGTTTTAGCTCTTCACATATTAAAATAAAAAAATAACCTTATTTTATAATGAATGTTAATTTTGTTAATTAAAAGTAAATTTTTATCAACTAATAATTAATTTACAAAATTAATGAAATATTATAAAATTAGTTTTGTTAACTCTATTAGTTGAAAAAAAGTTTTTGACAGTTAACAGTCAACTAACAATTAGCTAATAAAATTAATAGTCAGTTAATAGAACTAATAAAATATTACAAAGTGATGATTATTTTCTTCAATTTTAATAGATGAGGGACTAAATGCGTTATAATATAAGATGATGAGTTATAACCTATAAATCTAGTAAGGTAAGAGACTAAAAATATCATAATATAAGATGAGGAGTTAAAACCATCAAACTTGATAAGATGAGGGATTAAAAGTAAGCTTTTGCCTCTCTTGACAAACCTAAAACAAAAATGTGGTATCATAAGAATAACTTTTTTATACTATCTTTTTATACAATTTTCACATGTTATTTAATAAGCGAAAACATTTAATATTATAAATCTTACATGAATTAAAAGAATCAATCATTTAAATAACACATTAAATTGTACAAAAAAATGAAAAATAAAAAAATTATACAAAAACCATTTCCCAAAACAAAATTCAGCCACCTAACTAATGGAAAATTCTGATGTCCAGCAGACAGGTGTACATTGCTATCTTCTCTAAAGATTATGTTTTCTGCTTCTTCTTTTTTCTTGCCCTTTAAGAAAGTGTCATGCATT